TTTACACTATTAAGTAATCTATCATAATTAAAAAAGAAACAAATTATGGGGTTTTACCCTCACTTATAGTTTTTTAAAAAATATTTAACCCTTGAAATGACATATTAAGGCTGAGGATCATATTAAAAATCAATTAGTTTCATTTTGTATATGGCCATGTTTGAGACATCTGTGAGATTTCCAAATACAGATGACTAACGGCTATCAAATATGTGATCATATGTTTAAGAATGAAAAATGACTCTAAAAAGAATTTGGGAGTCATCAGGAAGTAAATGAAGGGAAAATGAGACAAAGAATAGTTATGGTAGTTCCAGAAAATACGTGAAGTGCATAGGATATACTGACTTAGGATAGCACTAAATTTAATAGTATATGTAAGGTTAAGAATATCTGTCATTAAGAAAGACTGAGAGGAAGCTCAAAACATACTTCAGGAAAGTCACAAATATGTGTCTTCAAAGTAGCCAAGAGAAGGGTTTTTTGTTTTGTTTTTTTGTTTTTTTAAGGAAATTATATCTGTCATTATCTTGGTTTGTCACTTATATGTGGCTAAAAACATATTCCAACAATTATTCTTATTCTTTATTCTTATTATTCTTATTAGCCCCATTTTCCTGGCAATTCTTTAAAATATTAATTCCATTTTCAACTTCCTATATCTATTCTCAGATATATTCCTAACTCATTCTCAGAGAAAACTTGTGTCCTAATTTACAATAACAATTAAAAATGGAGCAAAAACTTTTTTTTCAGTTTTCTAGTTATCACTGATTAGGTTCTCTGTAACAAAGCATTGGCTTGCTATTTATTAGAAATCAACTGCACAGAGCACACATATGCTAGAGAAATCTCTGAACTATATATGACCCATCAGAGTTGTCCCATGTTGAAAAAAAAATGTATTCTAGCTGTAAACAGACATTGATGTCACTGAAAGCTCATCTCTTTGAGCAAGGTGGCTGTTTGTAGCTGAACCTAGTAGTAGCTTTGTCTACCAATACTTTCCTGAAGAGGGATGGGGGTAATGCATCTCTATGATCATGCTAATGAACATACTACCACAAGTATATTTCCCTCCCTCCCTTCCTTCCTGTCTCCCTTCCTTCCTTCCTCCCTCCCTCCCTTCTTTCTTTCCTTCCTCTCCTTCCTCCCTTCTTTCCTTCTTCTCTCCTTCCTCCCTTCTTTCCTTCCTCCTTTCTTTCCTTCCTTCCTTCTTCCTTCCTTCCTTCCTTCCTCCTTTCTTCTGTCCTTCCTTCCTTCCTCCTTCTTCTATCCTTACTTCCTTCCTCCCTTCCTTTGTTCCTTCCTCCCTTCTTTCTTTCCTTTCTTCCTCCCTTCTTCCTTCCTTCCTTCTTTCCTTCCTCCATTTTTTCCTTCCTCCTTTCTTTCCTTCCTTCCTCCCTTCCTTCCTCTCTTCTTTCTTTCCTTCCTTTCTTCCATCCTCCCTTACTTCCTCCTTTCTTTCCTTCATTTCTTCCTCCCTTCTTCCTTCCTTCCTTCCTTCCTTCTGTCCTTCCTCCCTTCTTCCTTCCTTCCTTCCTTCCTTCTGTCCTTCCTCCCTTCTTTCCTTCCTTCCTTTCTTCCTTCCTCCCTTCTTTCCTTCCTCCCTTCTTTCCTTCCTTCCTTCCTTCTTTCCTTCCTTCTTTCCTCTCTTCCTTCTTCCCTTTCTTTCCTCCTTCCTTTCTTTCTTCTTTCCTTCCTTCTTTTCTTCCTTTCTTTTCTTTTTTGAAAGATCTTCTTTCTAGAATAATTTTGTCTTTACAACTTTGTGTTTTCAAGTTTAAGTTCTCTTTTCCCAACTCTTCACCTATCTATACTTATTGACTAGTCACAATCTATTCCTCAGAATAAAATACACAACACATAATTTATAAAGTTATGTGGTTATTTTTACTGATCTCTCTCTAATCCTATGTTGTTATGGGGAGGATGATCAGAAAACACAAATCAAAGAATTTTATTTTGCAAATTTTACCTGACCAAAGACTGCTTCTGTCAGAGACTGAGTAGCTCTCTGAAAGAACACCAGCACCAAGTTGTTCCTGACCAAAGTAGTTAGGGAATAAAATTATACCCTGGTGACTTTCCTATGGAATTTTGTAAGATTTTGCAAATTTCAAGCAAGCAGAATACAGAGGCTGCAAATGCAGTTAGTAGAGCAGAAACAGAAAATCATATCTGAAAGAACTGAAACCGAGACCGGGAGTTACCCATTGGAGAAGTCCTTTTATTCCAGTACAGCAGAGCCTTTTATCCAGGGTAGGTGGAGCCCTTAGGACAGGAGGCAAATTCTCATTGGATTACAGTCATTAGAATGGTTTTGTCAGTCGCCCATTGGTGACTTTTTGGCATCTTAATTTGCATAGAGCGGGAAACAGACCCAGAATAGAAGTCTAGTCAGTGCCATCTTGGAGTGAATAATCCAATATTTCCCCCTTTTTAGTTTAATAATGGGAGTAGGGTCATCATTCATTCTGACTGCTTCCTACTGAGCGGGGGAGTGTCCGGGAAGAGGTTGGGAGAACACTGCATAACACTGATATTAATCCCCAAAGCAGCGCTGGCCGAAAAATTAAAGACTTCTGATGGGGCCAGGTCCAAAAAAGTACCCTGAATCCATAGGTCCTGGATCCTGGATTGCGTCCTACAAATCCTCCTCGGTGTTCATGGCTGGGAGGAGCCATGCATCCTGTTGAAGAGTATCCAAAAAGGATTTCCATGGATCTGCCATTTAGCAGGTCATGAGTTGAGTGGTGGAAGACTGATCAGGATCTTCTGAGGCCAGTAGTTGGTAATTCCTATGAAGGAGCTAGTTAAAAGATTGGTTAGAGATTTTTGCTATCTGATTTTGAGCAAATTTAATCATGCAAGGGAGAAAGAGGCAGGCCAACAGAATAATGGAGAGTGGTCCAATTATTGGCCACATCCATGCCAAGAAGAAAAAGGAAAGGTTTGGGATGCCTTCCGTAAGCCTGCTGCCAGATCATTAAGTTATTTTGAAACTGGCTAACATAGGAGAATATTTCCATGTTTAATTGGCCTGAGTATGGACATCCCCCATATACCTCTGGCCACCAGAGGCATCATTTGTCCCATTGATCATATAGGAAACAAAGATATGGCCTCAAGGACTGCTGAATAAGTTTTGTTGAGGCAGGTAAGGATAAGTCAGAGCAACCATGCACGGGGCAGTCTGCCATTGCGGCTAGGGCTGTAGTTTGAGTATTTTTTTCAGTATAGGTTTGTCTAGCCTTAAATCTCCAGACATAAGGGGAAGAAGAGACCATAAGAGTCAGGCTTATGAGAATTAAGAAAAGGAGAGGCTTAGTGACTCAGGGGTTCATTTTCCAATATGGGCTCAAGAAGCATGACCTGAGGGCTGGGGATGTGGCTCAAGCGGTAGTGCGCTCGCCTGGCATGAGTGTGGCCCAGGTTCGATCCTCAGCACCACATACAAACAAAGATGTTGTGTCCGCCAATAACAAAAAAAAAAAAAAAAGGAGAAGCACGACCCAAGACAGATGGAGCTTAGACTGCTCCATATGCAGATGAATCATAGGTCAGCTTGAGCCTGGGTATGTGAATCCAAGGATTTAATGGTTATTAGGGAGTGCTAGCCTGGCTGCAGTTGGAGTACATAATACAACTTGTGTTGGACCTTCGCACTTTGGTAGTAGGGGACCCTTGTCTCCTGGTGGATTAAAGAGGACAGATTGGCCAGGTGACATGGAGAGAGGGATCTGGGAGGCTTCTGTACCTGGAAGAAGCCAGTCCTGATGTTTCCAGATCTCAGTACAGAGATGAAAAAGAAGTGGTAAGGCATAGTGATTGGGGATGGGCCAAGATGATGTGGTAAGGCCCGGAGGAAGGAGTGGGCATCCATACAGGACTTCAAAGGGAGAGAGAGATAAAGGCTTCTTAGGCAGGGCTGGCAGATGGAGAAGGGCTAAAGGAAGTAGTTTCGTCCAGTCCATATGGAGTTCCATGAACAACTTTGTGAGTACCTCTTTCAGTGTCCTATTGGTTCTTTCAACCTTTCCTGAAGCTTGTGGATGGTATGGGCAGTGGAAATGCCAAGGAAAGGACAATCCTCGAGCGACAGACTGAGTGATATGTGAAACGAACTTGGGCCGTTATCTGATTGAAGGGAAGTGGGCATCCCAAATTGGGGAATAATATGGGTTAGTAAAGCATCAGCCACAGTGGTTGCCCTTTTATTTGTGGTGGGAAAGGCTTCTACCCATCCAGAAAATGCGTCTACCATTATTTAGCAGATATTTGAACCTCCTGACTGATGGCATGTTGGTAAAATGCAGCTGCCAGTCTGCTGCAGGAATATGTCCCCTGACCTGATGGGAAGGAAAGCACTTTACCCGTAAAGGGGTGTTAGGATAGGTTTTTTTGACAGATAGCACATTTGAGGGAGATATCACGTAGAAGCTCCTTGTCTTGTGGGGACAGAGAAAAGAAAGATCAGTGGAGGGCAGGCCTGGAATGATAAAGAAGAATTCAGAAGAAAGGAGACAAGAAGAGACAGCACCCTAGAAGGCCAGAGCGACCGGAGTCCCTTGTAGGTCAAAAGATCCTTTAGATGATGGGGGGGAGAGAATAGTGAGAGGGGATCCAAAGGTAAGTTTTTGGGCTTCCTTCTGTAAATCATGGGCAGCTGCCAAAGCCCACAGGCATGGACCCCATCCCTTAACAGTAGGATCTAATTGCTTGGATAAGTAAGCCACGGGGGCAAAGGAAGGCCCATACTTTTGGCCAAAGACACCGAGACTCTGTCCACCACTTTCATGTATGTATAGGATGAAAGGACAGATTAAGTCAGGTAAATGCAGGGCTGGAGCTTGAAGAAGGGTCTGCTTTAGTTTCTGGAAGGGCCATTTGGCCATGGAAAGCAGCAGTTCATGTATTGGTCCCTTTGTGAGGTCATATAGGGGTCCAGCCAGTAGGGAGTATTTGGGGATCCAGGCTCTGAAGTATCCAGTCAGACCCAGAAAGGATAAGATCTCATTTTTTTTTGTTTTAGGTGTTGAGAGGGCATTAATAAGATTTTTCCTGTCTGTAGTAATGGCCTTTTTTCCTTGTGGTAAGGAAAAGCCGAGGTATGTGACCTCAGGTGAGCAAAGTTGGGCCTTCTGGGGAGAAGCACGATACCCCCGACTGGCCAAATGATTCAGGAGACCAACAGTATCAGCGTTTGAGGCCTCCAAAGAGGAGTTACAAAGGAGTAGGTCATCTACATATTGGAGAAGAGTAGAGGTGGAACAGGTAAGATAGCTAGTATCTTGCCAAAAATATGAGGGCTATCCCTGAACCCCTGGGGAAGTACAGTCCATGTGAATTGATGTGAATGCCTGGTTTTAGGGTCAGTCCATGTGAATGCAAAAATATCTTGGGACTCCTTGGCTAGGGGTATGGAGAAAAGGCATCCTTTAAGTCTATGACAGAAAAGTGGGTACTTATGGCAGGAATTTGTGACAAAAGGATATAGGAGTTGGGAACTAGCTGGTGGATGGGTTTAACAGTGGAGTTGATAAAGCAAAGATCTTGAACCAGGTGGAAAGTGCCTTTGGGCTTCTTTACCACCAGTATGGGGGTGTTAAATGATTAATGTGTGGGCCTAATGTATTATTTTGTTAATAAGTCTTTTATGATTGGCTCTAAGCCAATGAGAGCTGTTTGTAGATAAAGGATATTAGGGCTGGCTGGGGAAGTAGGAGGGATCCTTAAGTTGTACCACAATGGGTAGGCAATTTACCCTGGATGGACTTTGAATGTCCCATATTATGGGATCCACCAGTTGTACAGGTGTAGGAAACTGACTTTCAGAGTGGTCTTCTACTGATGTATCACATTGAGAGCAGCCTCTTTTCAAGCTGAGTGAGATTGGACATATAGAAGGGAGCATGGACAGACACAATACCTTCAGATCCAGCCACTTCGCATAAAGGGGCCATAGTAAGGGATTGAGTGGAAGGATTATGAAGCATGCGAGATTGGGTTGGGGGGGGCTGAAAGAGTTGGCTGGGGGTAAAGGGAAAATGGAGGTGGGGCAGAAGGATGGGGTGCAGAAGGTGGTGAAGGACGATAAGGGGGTGGTTCATCAGCTGGGTCAAAAGAAGATCAAAAGAATCACCAGGAGGTGACGGAACAGACTTACAGGCTAAGAGGACTTGTTGAGGACTGCATGTGGAGCAAAGTTTGGGATGGGTATGAAGAAGAAAAAAGGCTTCAACATAAGGAATCTTCTTCCACTTTTTCAAGTGCTCACAGTAGTTAAACAAGTCATGAAGAATTTGGGGATCTAAGGACTCTTCAGCAGGCCATTTACTGAGATTGTCCAAAGGGTAGTATGGCCAGTCTTGGATACAAAATTTTATTAATAATTTAGGCTTAATGTCAAATTGGAAAGAAGGCCTTTTGGAGGGGAGTCATTCGGAAGGAAAAAAGAGGCCCCCATGGTGAGGACAGAGGAGAACGGGGAAAGTGAAGGAGAAGAAATTCCAGACCAGAATTATGAATGGGACCCAGTTGGGCGTCCCCAAGTGCTAGTTCTGTTGGACAGACTCAGTAGAGTGCAAAACAGGAGGATCAGTTGGGTTGTCACCCAAAAGCTCTTCCCATAGGGCGAAAACACTAAAGGTCTCGGAGTACCTAGTGCTAGGCATTTGTCGGAGAAGAGAGAGGAGAGAGAGAGAGAGAGAGAGAGAGAGAGAGAGAGAGAGAGAGAGAGAGAGAGACTGGTGGAAAGGAGGGTTCTGTTCTTCCCTCCGATTTCATCAGGTTGGGCAGGGACCATCTTGGGAAGAGACCTAGGAGACCACTGTGGTCATGAAGACCTAGGTGGGGTGAATTCTCCTCCCACAGGCAAGCATCGGAGAGTTGCTGGACTATCACTGTCAAGTTCTCTGCAATAGCAAGACCGAGGTGGTCACTTTTTAGGGGGCACTCACCTAGAGGTGGGCCAGTGTTGTTCATGAAGAAGCGAGCGCTGGAGAAGGCGGATGAGGATGAGAAACTCTGGTAGGTTCGAATTGGGAAGGGTCCTCATGGAGAGGTTGTCCCCTCCTGGGTTTCGGCACCAATGAAAGAACTGAAACTGAGACAAGGAGTTACCCATTGGAGAAGTCTGTTTATTCCAGTACAGCAGAGCCTTTTATCCAGGATAGGCAGAGCCCCTTAGGACAGGAGGCAAATTCTCATTGGATTACAGCCATTAGAATAGTTTTGTCAGTCACCCATTGGTGACTTATTGGTGCCTTAATCTGCATAGAGCAGAAATGGACCAGAAGAGAAGCCTAGCGGAGGCCATCTTGGGGTGGGTAACCCAATAATATCCTCATTTATGGGGATCTATATCCTCATTTGTACAGATCTACCTCCTCATTTGTATGGGTCTCACACAAAAACAATTTTAAAATAACATCTTGAGAACAGCTTGTAACAAGTTTCTCACAGGAACAAAAAAGATGGAGTCCATAGGGCTATACTTACTTATGTTGGTCTATAGTTATTTCTTATACTTAACCACTGTTCTAGTAACCTATATCCATCTTTATATTTATCTGTAACTATCTGTAACTTATTAGACCCATGAGCTTATAATTATCACCTTAAATTATCTATATGTTTTTGTTAGCAACTTAAATCCTATGTCTTACAGTGATTATATTGTTGTGCTGTTACTTCTTCTATCTTAAAACTAGAGCAGACTGGAGTAACAAAATTACTAATTTTATAACGTTTATAATCCTGTTAGGCTTACTAATTAATAGTTCATTAACCTATAATTTCTAATCTATATTCTATAACTCACAGCTTGTATTGATTAAATTCAGAGTATAACAATATTATGCCTTAACCTTAGTACTAATTTCAGCTTCACTCATTTTTTATAAGCATTTTTGTTTTCTCCTTTTTTTGTCTTCTTTTTTTCTTTTCTCTTGGCACCAGAAATCAAACCCAGGGACACTTAACCACTAAGCAAAATTCCCAGCAGTTTTTCTTTTTCTTTTTCTTTCTTTTAAATTTTGAGACAGGGCCTTGCTAAATTGCTGAGACTAGCTTTTCTTTCTTGATATTCCTGCCTCAGCCTCCTGAGCCACTGGGATTACGGGCATGTGCCACCATAATCAGTTGTTTTTTTTCTTCTTTTTTTTTCCCCCTCTATGGTTTTACCTAGTTTGCTTAATTTTTTTTTTTTTTGGAATGTTTCTCTTCCAAATAGTCATATATTAATACTGCCAAAGGATGAAATTATAATAAATTTTGTTCAAAGATTTTAAGTGCTTTTAATTACAATTGAATGATTTTGCCACATATCATTCTAAAAAAAAATAGAGTAAATATTTCAATGGACTAAGGGGAAGTTGGTTTTATAGATAAGAAGGGCTGAAAAACACAGAAGCAGAGAACAGGAAAATGGTTGATCATTTCAAAGTTATTTTCTTTGTAGGATGGAACAGCAAGACAGAACAATAGAAACATGACTGATTAAAATGACATTATTTCAGGTTACATTTTGGGGAGGAATAAAGCAGAGAGAAATTTCACTCTACTGATTGAAACTGGTCTCCTTCTGAAATCTGTTATCTCTCCCTGATTTCTCAGGTCAAAAAACAACTTTGTTTCTGCTTAATATATAGACTCTCAGCATGAATGATTCCATTTTAGATTTTAGTCTGCTATATTGAGTTTTATTGCAGAAATTTAGTTAAAAACAGTGACCTCCTATAATTTATATTTGATATTACTATCTGCCTTCCTTCAAGGTCAAAAGAGAACCTCATCTTTCCATACCCCAAAATAATATTAATACTATTGGCCATTATTTCCTTCAAAGCACAATGTATACTTAAAATTATATATACATATATATGCACATATATATATATATATACATATACATATATATATACCATATACATATATACATACATATATGTATACTTGAAATTTTATATATACCTATGTTTATATAATTTGACTATGTGTTAAATAAATATGTGCATATATGTGTGTGTGTTAAATATATATATGTGTGTGTATATATACCTCTGTGTGTGTGTGTGTGTGTGTGTGTATATATATATATTTGATTATGTGTTAATATTCTTATCCCTCCTTGGAGGCAATTACCATGAGAAAATAAAAAGTCTTTAACAATATATCATCAGTAACAATATATGATAATAACTTCAAAATGCATTTTTACTTAAAATAGTTTCTTAATTTGGTCCTTTTAGTAGCATCACATAATATTTTAATTGTTAAATGGTAAATAAATAAATATTATAGATTTAACTAATTACTATATACTAATTATAGCCCATCTGATATGGGTATACAGAAAGTACATTTCATCAAAGACTTCACAATCTCTTGGAATCATATATATATATAAAGTAATAATATTCTAGTAATGGTATTCAGATACATGAAAAACAATTGTAAATTAAAATTATAATTTTATAGTAAACATATTAGCAAAAATAGGTTTTCAATAATAATCTGTAGTATTTTAATAGGAACTAAAGTTAATTTTATAAATGACTTTGTAGCCAAGTTAACACTTTTCATTAACAATAAGTACTTTGATGCACACAAATAAATTTTTTTTACCCAACTTTTGAGCTACCTATATTTAGAGTACCTTAGAGACTTGTTGAATTGTTCAGTAAATTATTGTTAATCTCTTGAAGTAGAAAAGCACAGGGTTGAATCATGATACCACATCTCTTGAACATTTAACCACCCTGTTTGATTCTGAATCACAGCTCAATAGTACATGTTCTCACTTGATGTTTGTAGCCATTCTTAAAGATATGCTAGTGAAAATGAGGGTTCATGATATTTATCAAAGGAGCAGTAGCAAGAACCACTGGCAAAGAGAAGCCAGAGTGATGATCTCAGTAGAACCTGTGGAACAATGTAGAGAATTATCATGAGATATATATGGTAGGTAGTACATCACATCCAAGCTTTCAGATAAAAGTCTCAAGGTGTTGCTCAAAGTAATTATAGAAAGGGAAAAGAGTATTTTGTTATTCTCCCCTATATAACTCAGGTTAATGCATCTGAAAAACAGGGAAAATTGGGGGAAATAAAGTCCCAATGCATATATTCATTTGGGAGAAAGATATATTGCCTGAAATCTCACTCAATCTCTTTTCAGGCTAGTGGTGATATATATATATATATATATATAAAATTATCATAACTCCAAGCCTATATCTAAAGAGGTGGTTGTAATTAGAATAATTGTTTGT